ATGTGGTAAATAAAACAGATTTACAATATGACATGTGGTAAATAAAACAGATTTACAATATGGCATGTGGTAATTAAAACAGATTTGCAATATAATCCATGGCAAAAGAAACAGCTGTGGATTTAAGTTTGTAAACTTATCTGCCATCTTAAGAAAAAAATGTCACTAAGTAAATGCTAAAAATTTAGGCTTTGGAATGTCCAATGTTTCAAAATCTCAGTTGTCTTTTGGTAGAGCTAAAAAGTTTCAGGTTTTAACTTACAAGAAAATATGTTATTGAAAAAAAATCTGGGGAGTTTTTGTTTATTTTAAACAAAAATGTCATAAAATCTATATGGATGAAACATTATGAAAAGAACTCGTGTTACCAATGTTAAACTACAAGAATTAGTTAAACATTCTTGTTAGAATAGAATGAATTTAAATGACTGCTCAAGTTTTATTCAGCGAGCTCACTTCAGAGAAAAGACCACAGGGTTCCTCTCTCCACCAACATTATCATGCAGTCAATGCCGTCAACTCTTCCAAGAGTTGGTCAACTTCGTCATTAATGCCATCATTATAAAGGAAGTAATCAGCAAAGAAGAGATTAAATTCTTGGATATGAGATAAAGCTATTGTTGAGAAAATTCATTTTATATAACTTTAAATGAAATATTTCATCCAATATCTTCTTCAGGGAATAAACATGAAGAATAACTGCACCTTGTGCCTGCATTTATGAAATAAAAGAAGTCAGAATTGTCTTGAAGAATAGATAATTTAAAATATTAAAAAATATTGAGTAATAAATTAAAATAAATCTTTTTGAAAAAAATTATCTACAAATTTTTTTCCCAACCTAAAAGTCAAGAGAATATTTTTATTAAAAAAGTAATTAAAAACACTCAAAACAAAATATTTTAGTTTTATTTTCTAATTCAGGGCATCCTTTTATGCAGCTTTTATTTTATAGTCAAGTACTTCAAAGGGGAGACAACTCTGGTTTGCCTTTCACTACAAAAAGATAATTTAAAATATTAAAAAAAAATGTATTTAAATAAATGAAAATAAACCTTCAAAAATTATCAAAGATTTTTTTTCTCAACCTAAAAGTTTAAAAAAGTAGTTAAAACACTGGAATATTCCCACTTTATTTTCTGATACAGGGCATAATTTTACACAACTTAAAATTAAATTCTCAGTCAATTTGATTTCTCTGGAGACTTATCTTTAAAATTACAAATATTAAATATTCAAATTATATTTTAAGATTTCAAAAATTACAGATCAGTTAAAATTAATTTTAAATTTCCATAAATTTTTCTTACAAAATTCCTTTTTCATAAATAAATTCAATCATAAATGAATAAGTATCCAAAATATGTGAGTGCAGGAGGATTGGTCATTCTGAATTTTTACCCTTCAGCATTCTTCAGGTAGATGAGGCCTGCTCAGAATATATCCAGGTATTACAAATATCTCAAGAACTGGTTGTGTTATCTTCATTTAAATTCACAACCAATCAGTGGATAACTTACTACACATGATACTCTCTCATAGGGTTACTCAGTCAACAGTGAGATATCACTGAGTCAGAATTTTACTTTGGTCATCACATTTATATTGACCGAGTGAGTAGATGTTTCAAATCTTATACAAGTCATTTTGGAAAAACATGGCATCAATCAAGCTCCTACAGTCTGGATTTCGTACCTTTTCTATAAATACTTTTATGGTAATTGTTCTGATGAACTTTCCTCTATAATACCTAGACTTTATGAATTTAAGTGCAGTATTAGGTTGGTGGCAAGGTCTCATCCTTTTTCAGTTGAAATGGTAGATGTAACCATATGTTCTATGCAAACAGTTGCATTTCTCACTTATGGAAATCTCTTCTTGTTTTACAATCAAGTTTGATATTGAAAAATTTAGATACAATGTCAATTGTTATCTTCTATTTTCTTAGTTCCTGTTCTTTGTTGTTCTTGCTCCATAATATTATTTTTCTTTTTTTCATATTCCATCACACTCAAACACCCTGTGTCTTAGTGGCTTTATTGCTTTACTTTGGGTGAAATAGTTGAAATGTATTGCTGGTAATTTTTACTTTTTTTACAAAAATGTATTGTTGGTGGTAATTTTTACTTTTTTTACAAAAATGTATTGCTGGTAATTTTTTTTTTTTTTTAAACGTATTTTTACTATAAATTTTAATATAAATTTTAATAAGAAAACATATTTTTATTTATAATTTTATAGGTTTTGTTTGGGAATTCACTATTTGCCCATAGCTGGGACCCTAACAAGTGCTACCACTTCAGGTCAGAGTGGGCCTGGGAATAACATCAACTAAGAGGTTCTTCTGTTGTGTTTCTGCCTTTAGGCAGTTCATAATTTTCTAATGAGGGAGACCTAGAGCCAGGAATTCTAACCCTGCAGCAGCCAATATCTCATCACCCTAATGGAGGAGGGTCAGAAAAATATGACATCAATGTAATGATAGTTGCAGAGTAAGTAATTTTTGTTATTGGCCTCTATCTCTGCATTTTGACATCCAATGTTAAATTGATTGTTACATGCTGCTGCAATAAATAAGTGGATGTTTTCTCTTTTTAATACTAAAGTTAACCCAATACAAAGTTCAAGAGCCACTCAAGGTAGAGGGTTAGTGTTAAAATGGTTATGATGTGATATAAACGAAAGAGGATGTAGTAGGAAGTGAAGATTATGAAGCTATTGGCACCTAATTGAAATAAGTTAGGATTGTATAGTTCAAGGAAGCATCCAACGTGAGTCTGTTCCATGAAAAAGCTGTCTGAATGAAACTTTCACTTTACATTTGAAATATGGAGGAAATGAAGGTGATTCAATTCTGTGAATGTAATGTTGTATATAAATATTAACAGGAGCCAACACAAGGTCATTTAAAGATCATCAGTTTTTGATCTTAGATATTATCAGCCTTTCTCACAACTTACTTGCACTACAAACAAAAAAAAAACCTTAACATTCAGTCCTTTGATTGTGTTGCACTGATTTTCTCTATTTGAAGGGATGAAATAGAGAAAGCAAATAGATGATGAAGCATATTTTCAAGAATGGATAAATGGTGTACATATGGGAAAATTTTAAAATATATGGTATACCTTTCAGAAAATTACAAAATGTCTGACTGTGTTATGAGTAGGCATTGAAATGTTCTTGGCCAAAACAAAAAAAGATTTAAAATTCTCATTTTAGATCATTTTGTCAGTGTAATGACAAAAGTATGCAGATGTAGGCTTTAAGAAAGCTTCATTCAACTGAGAATACAAAGTTCACATAGTGTCCGTTTATAGTCCCAGTAAACAGAAATAGCTCTCTCAAAGAAAAGAGTAACAAAACAAGGGGAGACCAATCTTGATTATTCATAACAGTCAGATCTTGAGAAGTTGGCTTTGTAACAGTCTCATAAGGGCCTAGTTAATGCATGAACAGGCTTAGAGACATTGCTACTAATTACTGATAATAGCAGTGGTAACAGTGTAAAAATTACAAAGATAATTTTTAATGTTCTATAAAATATAAAAATAGACATTCATCACAAAAACATGTCTTGAGCTGTAATTTTCTGAGAGCCTGCTACCAGGTGACACTTTAAGGCAACGTTTCTCAACCTTTTTCTGCAACGACACACCTAGACACAAATTGAAATATCACAGCACATATAGCAAAATTTTTAAAAGGTATACATTTAAATGCTATGAAGTAAAACCATTTTATAAATACACACACAAATGTGAGCTTTATTTCAATGTTTCTATTCAATTATTTGTGCACCTTATTTAGTATGAAATCTGTGCCTGGTGTTTTTTCATGATTTGAGAAGTCTAATTCATATAAATAAGAAGTGATTTTTAGCTAATATGGGATAAAAAGTTTAATACTCATTCATTTATTCTGATACTAACACAGTACCATTATTACTTCCATGCACACAAATATATATGTATACCATGACAATATTTCGGAGCACACCAGAATCACTGCTTTAAGATAAGGAAACTACTGAGTCTGTCTATATTTCTGAGATGAGGTATTATGTACATTATTTACATTATTCAGACTATTGTCCACATCTTTGTCACCATATTTATCACAATGTTTCGGCCTCAAGGACACATGGCACAGTGGATAAAGGCATTGATTAGATCCAGTGACAAGACCCAAAGAGTGTGAGTTCAATACCTGGTTAAGGGAGTGGAGAACTTTCAGAGGGAAAATTAACAGGAGATAACTGATAGCTGACATCCATCAAACATGGCACGTGGAACTAGAACAGTCTACCTACTCAGTTTGACATTCCAACCACCTGAAGAAGGCCGGAGCGTACAACGGCTGAAACGTTGTGATAAATATGGCGACAAAGATGAGGACAATAGTCCGAATAATGTAAATAATGTATAAGGAAACTACTACATGTTCTTTTAGATACTGCTGGTCTATGAGGCAGCACAGTAATATCTGCTCTCTTCTGTCTGAAATTCTTTAAGGCACCCTGAGTCCCTTTATCATTTCTTTGAGTTTATTCCATATTGTTGTTCTTGATGCAAGAAAATGGTTTTCCTTGTTTGTGTAGTTCTTTAAATGAATTTTCTTTGTCTATTTCTCTTTCAAGATATATTTGTTCCTCATTTTCATGAGTACAAAGGATAACATCACTATGAAGTGTGTACCTTATTCATTGAGTCAGTTGCAGGAATGGCCAAGAACTTTTCAGCACCCCTTTTGTAAATATGATAAAAATGTAGACAACAGTTCAAGAAATATAAGAAAACAGTTCATCTCAAAACTTCTGAAAACAGCAGAAGACATTCAAAGAAACCTCAGCAGTTTCAAAACAGCAATAGATAAAATTCCTAATATGTTAGAAATGTTTTTAAAAATGGTTAGTTTAAAAAAAATGCAGTAACATTTTAATTTAAAGCTGTTTTTAATAAATTTTTAGTTTTGTAAAAATAGAAATATCTAAAACTTACGTCAGTTTGGGCAGTGGAGGCTGGGGTCAAGGTACTGGTGCTCCCTGTGCTACATGCATCACCTGTACTCGAAGTGTCAGCAGAGGAAGAAACTGTTGCCATGGAAGTGAAGGATTCTGACGAGGGTAATGAAGCATTGTCTGAATAGGCAGAATCTGTTTCTGTGACATCCAGTCCACTATCTGGGAGCAGAGAGGTAAGCTCTGAATGCATTCCAAAGAAATCATCACTTGTGTTGAAGCCGAGACCTTTGGTGATCTCTGCAGCAAGAGCATCCAGTTCTGCTTGAATTGGGTCATTTGATGTATCCTGAAAGGACGCATCACTTAAGGAATTGGTACCTGCAGTTGGAGTACTAGATGGACCCAAAGACTTGGAGATTTCTGACTGAGTTGTATTCAGCTGAGATTCCAATTCACATAGTTCTCCAAGAATTGCATCCAAATTCACATCCTGGTTTTCTGCAAGAGATAGAATCCAACTCATTAGATAAAAATGGTATGACAATTTTCATGATTAGTCAAGTAGTTTACTGATTACATTTGTCGTATTAATGCTGTATAGATTAATATACGCACAAGTCTCAATCTATCATAAGTAAAATTATTGCTCATTATAGCTTTAAAAATTCATACTATATATATATATATATATATATATAGTGTATACCTACTATATATATATGCATGTGTGTATGTGTATATGCATACTATATATATATATATATATATATATATATATATATATATATATATATATATATATATATATATATATATACACACATATATGTGTGTGTGTGTGTATACCTACTATATATATAGTGCATGCATACTATATATATATATATATATATATATTATAACATAAGTATGTTATAACATCACTACAAAAATAGTCATTTTGTTTCAACACTTTTGGTGTCTTATCAAGTGATGGTGTTGATTTTAAAATAAAAAATGTTTTTAAACAGTTCAACCACTACCCCCATCAGGGGGAAATATTTTTACATAAGATGTAATGGACAATCAAATTACAAGTATATCATAATTCAAACAATGCGACAACGGACTATAGATATAATTTATTAATGCTTTAAAATTAATATAAGATTATATAGGAAATCAGGAAAACTAATTAATCTCCAATTTATTATGTAATTAAAAAATAAAAGTTATTAATATTAAGCTCTAAATATAACCAGGCATCAAGTTTAGAAACTTACAAAATTATTCAAAGAAAAAATGGAGAAAATATGCCTAAATTTTCATGTATTGTTCTTAGTAATATGTTAATTTTTCCGTTCAAATCTGAGCAGAAGTAAGAGGTGCAATATATAGGTACAAAATTAGTTACATTGACAAGGTTGTTATTAGAGATTTAGTGGACGAGGGAGAAAGGTTTATTGGTGACAAGACAGACAGAAATCATGTCATAATACACAAACACGTTAATATGATTGAATATATGAGCAGGCATATATTTGAACGACAAACAGACTCATCAAGATTCATCATCCAAATAACTACAGAGACAATGCAAAGTACCTGTCAAAAATGCATAAACAGGGAAAATCAATATACAGGTACAGGCTTAACATTGCTTAACTTCAGTGATTGTACAAGAACCAGTGGTTAAATGTGATATAGCTGTAAGCCTTACTGAGAGTGAAGAAAATGGTGGGAAACTACTGAGCAGAAGGACAATTAAAAGAACATAATTCAAAGAGACAGAAATTGATAATTGATGTTTCACTTAAATTTATTCATTAGATTGTTTATTTAAATAACAATTTTATATTTACAAGATTATAAAAATATGAGAACCAACTACATTGCAATGTTTAGTTTTTTTACCATATTGTAACTGTGAAAACAAATTATAAAGAAACACTAATTTAAATTTTCGTTGTCAATTCTCAAGAAAAAAAATTGTGAAAATCTAATTTCATATGTATGGGTTTAATTAAAATTGGAATAATAGCATTTTAAAATGATAAAAGTTACTAAGGAAATACACATTAAACACAGTATCAAGAGATAAATGGTCCATTGACAAACTTGTTTTTTTTGCAGGCATGTAGACTAAACTTTACCCAAAATGTTCTCAGTGTCTCACAATTACAGCTCTGCATGAAACTAAACTAAGACAGAAAAATACATCCTTGAAGTATATATCCAGGGTAGTGATGAAGAAATAAAAGTTACTTTTTTTTGTCATTTTTCCACAATATTTGAATGGTGCTAAAATATTAATTGATCTTACACTGACTATAATGGACTTTGATAGAGAGAATGATGAGATAAATAGATATTAAGGGGACTGTGATAGATAATAAGGGAACTGTGATTGATAGATAGGTAATAAGGGGACTGTGATTGATAGATCTTAATTATTATAAAATGCAGATTGTGTGTGTGTGTGTGTGTGTCTGTACATTTATATATTGGATCGGATTTCCTACATTTTTCAACCGATTTCAACAAAACTTCACAGGACTGCGTAAAATTACCTTGTGGTGGTTCTGACAGTGCCAAAAATTAGAAAAACACAATTGTTTTTGCACAAAATCAATTTGAAAACATGATTAAGAGGCATTAATGAAAGGGGAACAACTCATATCGAGTTATACTTATTATAAAACCCAGGTTGTTTGTGTGTGTGTGTGTTCATTTATATATGGATTGGATTCTACACATTTTCAACCGATTTCAACAAAACTTTTTTTTTGGCAGGTAGTGTTTCTTATTGTCTTGCACACTTTTTCTTTATTTTTACATTCAGAATGCTTTAAAAATTACATTTACACGACAATTGTTTATAATAAAATTCTATTCAATCAGTAGACTCATAATGATTGAAAACAATGTTTTTGTTTGAGTTTGGGATTGAGCAATTCGTAAAAAAAAAAAAATAAAAAAATAAATAAATACAACTAATTAAGACATGCATGTCCATCAACCTTAAACAATAATCTTTGTCAATTTTATTTTTCAGTCTTTATGATGGTCGATACTTGATCTATCTCTTACTGTTACATCCCCGGGCAATGCCGGAATCTACTGCTAGTAAATCATAAGGGGACTGTGATAGATAGATAATAAGGGGACTGTGAGAGAGAGATAATAAGGGGACTGTGAGAGAGAGATAATAAGGGGACTGTGATAGATAGACTGATAGATAATAAGGGGACTGTGATAGATAGACTGATAGATAATAAGGGGACTGTGATAGATGATGAACAAACTTTAATCGATAATAAACAAACTTAGATAATGAATGAAATAAAATAGATAATATTTGGATTCTGTTATTGTCTGTAGACAAAATTCTTTGAACCTAAGATTACTTTCTCTTCCTCTACACTTTTTGTAATCATAATTGTTTTCCTCAATACTGTGAACTGACACACTTTGAGTTATCATAACAAACTACTTAAAATTGGAAAAAAAAAAAAAAAAAAAAAAAAAAAAAAAAACCATAAAAAACAAATCCCAGCCACTGAGGTAAAATGGTTTCTTTTTCTTCAAAATTTCTTTTCACACAATCAAAAAGTGGCCAATTGGTGGGGGAGGGAAGTTCATATTCAAATAAAACTGCTGAGACATGTATTTTACAAAGTATGTGAAATAAATTTGCAGATAAGTAATCTTAAAAAAAAAGATACAGTTCACTTATCTTAAAAGCTGCTTTCTAAACACAATAAATGGAATGATTATAGCTAACTACACTTTGGTACTTAATAGAAAAGAAGGTCTTATTAATCAGGGAGAGAAGGGCAGGTCAAAATTTTCCTCAATAAGCAATAAACAGAGGGTGTCTTAATAATAGAAAGAGAAATGGCAAATAATCTAGTGTAAAAAAAAATTGAATTGTTTCACAATCACATTTTTAAGCATGAAAGTCTATCCCAGTGTTTGTATCATTGTTCCTATGATATATATATATATATATATCATAGGAAAAGATTTTACATAAAATAAATAGACAACACTTGTCTATATTATTTAATGAAACGTGTGTGTGTGTGTGTGTGTGTATATATATATATATATATGCGTATATAAATATAAAGAAAGAACAGTAAGATATATAATCCGGTTTTCTTATAGGTATTTTTATTTTTGGTGCTCGATGTAAATTTACAGAGCATTAATATTATAAATTAATGTAGCGATGGCATCATATTTTTAAATACACACTACAGTTAAAAATTTTGAGGCTAACCCTGGTCATTTTTTAAATTGGTACAAAAATTTGTTTTGTGCTTTAAATAAGAGAAAATTATTGTACATGGTTTAAAAGAAGAAAAAAAAAAGAAAAAAGTGAGACATGATTTTTTTTTATTAGAAATTTTATCATGACAAAAATAAGCATTTTATGTTTATTTTGCTCCCGTCAAAATATCCTTCTTTAGCCTTGATTACTGCAGGACAAATATTTGGCATTCATTGCAAGTTTCTGAAAGTCAGATAATCGATGCCATTCTTTTTTCAATGTCACTGAGAGCTCTTTTTTTATTTCTTTTTCCATTCTTCTGCTAATTCTGGTGGTATCGTTTTTTTGTTCCTAGCCTTGGTGTATGCGTTCAATCTCCCCACATCAAACTGACCTTGTGTCACAACCTAACCATGTGGGGGGGGAGTAGATACAAATTACTATCAAGTAGTTTGTAACACATTTATTTATCATCTCTCAGTTGCGTCTCTGTTTTTGGGCAGAGTGCGCTCAGTGGCGGCTCCTTTAAAGGACAGAGTCGCAACTGAGGAAAATTATACTGAGAGGAGCCCAGCCCTGGGGACACAGCTGCCTGAGGCCGTGCTCTCTCATTGCACCAGAGAGAGGAATTGGTACTTGCACCGAGGCCAGGGCAACTGATGGTTGTAGGGGCTCAGGCAATTTTTGTTCCTAGCCCAGGTGTATGCGTTCGGTCTCCCCACATTAAACCCACCTTGTGTCATAACCTGACCTGGGGGTGGGGGGGCTTTTCTTGCGTTTGAGCAAATACAAATTACTATCAAGTAGTTTGTAACATGTTTATTTATCATCTCTCAGTTGCGTCTCTGTCACAACACGTTGTGGAGGGTCGAGTAAATACCAAATTACTATAAAGTAGAACCGGGGCTTTTTAATCTCAGAATTCATGGGAGAATTGAGCTCCAATTTTGCATTTATTCCTATAGATTCCATAATATAGGTTTTACTTAATTAGCTATTATGTTTCTCTAACTCTTTGAATGTTGAATGTATAACGAATTCTAACTTCTTTTTTCCCCCTTTTTACACTATATTAATTTTATTTTATAAATTGTCCCGTTCTGTCACCCATGAAATAAAAATAATTGTTAGTACAGAAAATAAGGATCTATGTACATCAAATCATCTTTAAGTGGCAGCAGAAGAATTATTGTTGAACTTTTAAAAGGTAAGCTTAAACATTATTTTAATACTTAAATGCAGCGATCAACTTTGAGTTCTTTCCTAGTTTATAGATGCCTATCACATCTACTCCACCCTAGCTATTGTGATGATGCCCAAACCAAGAGTCATCCACAGGAGCTAGCTTAAATGCCACCCAACAGGGCGGCTTTTAAGCTAGCTTAAAATTTTAAGCTAGCTGCATTTTTGGATACAAAAAGAAAATAAGAGTTACTCCCCTTGAACCATGAAAGCAACGATAATGGCTAGTATAATATATTAATATATATTTTTAAACTCACATAATATGGCAAACCTGAATCTAAGCTCAACGAAAATCATTCCCTGTGCCTAACTTTTCAAGGGCTTTTGAATGAGGTATGAATCATTGAAATTAGACCAGTGTGAGCGGAGGAGTTGCTTGGACACACACACACACACAAATACTGTACTTTATATATATATATATATGTGTATGTGTGTGTGTGTGTGTGTGTGTATATATGTATAGAGCATATATAAATATAAAAGTGACTGGTTTTTTTCATGCTTATACATTCTGATAATTGTATGTAAGTATGAAACAGACTGTCGCTGCTGGGTGTTGACTTCAATGTCCACGTATATAAAACTGGCGATAAAAATGTTATTGAATATTATCAAGAACAAAGACAACAGAACTAAATATTTGCCATATTAATTATCTTGCCTCATTTTCAATAAATATTTTGGTTCATTATTTTAATAATTTTCTTTACTTTTGTCTGCTCGTAATTTTAGCTAACTTTTTCTCCAGTTATATATGTGTGTGTGTGTGTGTGTGTGTGTGTGTATTGTGTATGGTTCTTGGTTAATTCATAATTTTTCAAAACAACCTCATAAATTTGTATATGTATATACTTCCTACCCCAACCCACACAAATATGTGCGTGTACATGTGTGTATATATATATATATATATATATATATATATATATATATACACACACACATATATATATATATATATAAACAGACAGACATATACACAAGAAGCTGGCTGATATAGAGAGAAACATGAAATGATTGTCAGGGTGAGAAAGATAATGTCAAGTCATATTGTTTCACCCCATCCATTTTTTTCTCTGACCTCACTACATGGATGATAATGTGTTTTTATGTATGTGTGTGTGTGTGTATATATATTATATATATATATATATATATGTGTGTGTATGTATATATGGATGTGTATATATATATATATATGTGTGTGTGTGTGTGTGTTGGTCTGTGGCTAAAAGTTTTGTTTCTCTATACAAATAAGAGTGGTGACAATTACCATATGTTTTACCATATGTAGGACTTGTAGTACCAATAGCTTTTCCACCACCATCTGGTGCCATGCTGAACAAAGCTGAGTATGAGTGTATATATATATATATATATATATATATATATATGTGTGTGTGTGTGTGTGTGTGTGTGTGTGTCATCATTTTTTGTCTCGAGAACCATAGTCAGTGTGAATCCATGTGAAGGCCATAACTGCTGATGTGCAAAGCACGCAGACAGACACCTCCCCTACTTAAGAGTGATGCAACAATCATACAACTCCACAAGCAATCAGTAGATAGGCACACACATACTTACACATAAACATATTATATTCAATGAATATTAATTAGTATAATCACAGCCTAAATAAATCAGCGTCATTATCAGTACAATAGAAAACTCAGTTTTGTAATTATAATGAAATCATTATTTCATTTCTGGTAAAATTCAAAGTTAAATGCACTGGGTTGGCTTGCAATTTTGAAACAACCTAAACAAAACAAGAAAAGAATGTTACTGCATCTAAAATAAAAAAAAAATATGAGACATCACTTACTGTATAAGATAATTATAATTATATTAAAATTATTCAACATTGTAAAACAATCATAATTGTAATTGTAATATTAGCAATTTCCTTCGATGGAAACACTTGGCATTCACTGACCAAGCAGCCAATGCTACTATCAGTTGGAATTTATAAAATGTTTCTTGTAAAACAATTTTCCAGGAAAATATGTTTCTCATTTCCACTGTTATCAATCTTTAAAGAATTGATTGCAGTTTCCTTCCTAACCATTTGTTCAAAGTAGGAGGGTGTAAGGTCAACATTTTGATCATGTCAGTATTTTCTCTTTGAATTATATGTGATACCCATTTTAGATGGTGTCACTGTTGAAATTCTTCAAGTGATGTTGTTTGTTAATTGGTACAGTTATTTGTGATTCTGCAACACTAGTCCACAAGGTTAAAAAAAAAAAAAAGATGACTCTCACTATGAACTAAAGGCTTCATTTACTCAAAATCACTGATTATATTAAGCACTCGTTGATTGATTTGTTTTTTATGGCTTATCAACTCTTTGCAGGTTATTTAAAACCAGATAATATTTTTAGATTAAAAGAATTCCTTTTTTGAGATAATAATAGTTTAGTGATACAAGTTTTACTAATTAACCCACAGCTGGGGGGAGAAGCGGTGGATTCATACTTTTCTCAAAAGTATTTGCAGGTTAATGAATATAACGAAACCAACTGGAATTGGAACCTGACACTCTGATTTCCAATTCTGAGCCATTATCCATTACACCACCTACATATCCAAGTTTATAGTACCTCGTATTCCAAAGCAATCACCTATCAAGGTACTGACCAGGTACAACGTTGCTTAACTTCAGTGATCATACAGGAACTAGAAATCAATTGTATACAGCTGGATATTGAGATATTGCTGAATGAGTTTGATGCTATATATGACATCCACATGAAAGTCTCAATATGACAAAACTATTTAAGTACAGGACTCAAGTTAATATTTTGGTTGTGTAGCATTTGTGATTGTTATATCCCAGGTTGTTTGGATGAACAAAAATGAAAAGGCAAGTGTATTTTAACACATAATAAATTAATATCTGTCTATATTTCTGAGATGAGGTATTATGTACATTATTTGGACTATTGTCCTCATCTTTGTCGCCATATAAAGGCAGTGGAGAACTTTCAGAGGGAAATTAACAGAAGATAACTGATAACTAACATCCATTAAACATGGCACGTGGAACTAGAACAGTCTACCCCAGTGAGAGAAATAAAGGGTTCAGTTCAACATTCCAAACACCTGAAGAAGGTTGGAGTGTACAACGATTGGAACATTGTAATAAATATGGCGACAAAGATGAGGACAATAGTCTGAATAATGTAAATAATAAATTAACTTTTTCGAAAAGAGTTGAAATTAGTTCAGTTATGTGCCATGCATGATACACGCTTAGGTGATCATGTATCTTTTGATACATGACTGATGAGGCAGATTTTTTCCTGCTGTAGGTTGTCATTTCTTTCCGTGGAAGACCAGTTGCCATCCAAGGCTATAGAATCCAGTGTGTATTGCTATTTACCCATAGCTGGGGGGAGAAGAAGAGGATTCATACATTTCCCAAGGGTGTTAGCATGTAAGTGAATGTAATGGATTCGACTGGGATTCAAACTCAGCTCTCCGATTCCTCAATCCAAACTGCTATCCACTATTCCACCGTATTACTAGGGTACATAATGAGAAAAGACAGCAAGTGAATTTTATTAAATTTTTTTAAGGAAGATCAATCCTGACCTTACATCTCAGCTTCAGTCACCTCCCATAACCATAACATGGCTTCCCTCTGCCTTTTCTATAAATATTTTTATGGCAGTTGTTCTAATGAGATTTCCTCCTGAGCACCTCAATCACATGAATTTAAGCATATTACCAGATTGGCTAATAGTTCTCATCATTTTACTGTTGAAATACCTAGATGTAACCATAAATTTTATTCTAATTTTTTTTTTCTCACACTTCTCGCCTGTGGAACTCTTCCAGTTTCTTGCTCCTCTGCCACCTACAATCTTCAAAAATTTAAATGCAATGCCAATCACCATCTTTTGTTTTTCTAAATACTGTCCTTTCTCTTCACTAAAGTCTTCTCATTCTCTTTTACTCCCAGTAACCCTATTGCATCTTAGTGGCACTATATCCTTGCTTGGGATGAATTGATTAAAAAAAGAAATCTAACAATACAAAAATTATAACAATATTCTCTAATAAACGTTATTTGATGATCAGAACCTGACCAAGAAGAAAAAAAAAATTGGGGGTCATTTCGTCAGAAAGTGGGCGAACTTTTCAGCACCTCCCCATATATACTTATGATAAAGTTTAATTTTTAAATCAGGTATGAGCTGAGCAATTATAACTGATAATAAAATAAAACGAAAGACTAAAATAGAAATTATTTGACAGAAGACTTGTTCTTTCTGCAGATCTTTTTATTCTATAAAAATATAAACAATAAAGTCCACAAAGAAAATATTTGATGACTGAATAATGATGCTATGAATTTATATCAATAAAAGATTTTGTTAGAAAAAAGCTGCAAACATTTGCATCAACATCATGGAACAGAAAATTAAACTGAAATATAGAGAAAAATTATAGAAAGCTGAGAAAATATTTGATGACTGAATAATGGTGCTATGAATTTATATCAATAAAAGATTGTATCTAAATAAAAAATTCTGGAAACTTTTGCATCAACGTAAGTACCCATTATCTGTTTAAAGGTGTCATCATAGATTGTCCTCAGCCCCCAACGCACTAACCTCATCACAAAATTAGGACTACCAGTCAAAAGTGAACTAGAAAAAATTAAGTCAATAATCTTTCCTTCTGCTAAGTGATCCAGCAGCAGCAGAACCAAGTTATGTGGCATCATATGGTTAGGCTGATGAAAGACTTTGCTGATGTACACACACACACACACACGTGATCAGAGGACATGTGTAGATAGGGTTCAATGCTAAAGGTATTTTTATCCTCCTTAACATACCCTGTTTACCCAACAAGCTGACAAAGAGTATAAGGAGAGAAGGAAGGAGGAAAAGACTGAATAAGAGACAGTCATGTGACCTAGACCTTAGCCATCTTAACCAAGCAACCAATCAAATGCCTCCTTTTAAAGTGTATGAAAAAAAGTAAGCAACTCCAGCCAACTACTTACTGTTTTCCTTTCCTTAAAGCTGCATGTGCCAGTGCATTGGCTCTCTTCATTATATATATGAGGAAAATATATGACAAAGTGGAAAAAATTTTCCAGGTGACATGTTTTGTCTTTTAGGACTTCAATCAACAAAAGTGGTGTTTATACTGATGTTATTACTTTTTAGTCTGATGAAGTCACAAAAGATGAAACATGTCACCCAAAAGATTTTTTCCACTTTGTCATAAATTTTCCTAAAATTGTTCTGATATAAAAAAACATATATACTGTTCTCCTAGGACAGCTAGCCAATAGCTGCTGCATACATAACCTCAGGCACATTTCTATTTGTTTAATACCCACATAGCCTACCCGTGGTTTATAATGCGACTATGCTGAGCAGACCATAGTTGCAGTTTCTGAGAGAGAGAGTACATCATTTGACATGATCAACAGTTTGAACAAAACTAGTACACTAAAACTCTCTGTCACAATGACTTGTGACTTTGTGCTAGCACAACCATAGATGGTCTTTGAACAGTTTTATCTACCATATATATATATATATATATATATATACACACTTGACTCTCCTGTCAAATTCGACGTACGAGGGTCAAACAGATGATTTGATTATAGTGGTGAAGATTTTGTGCAGGACCATCCACACTTTTTGAAGGGCTGAATACAGAGACCGGGTGCACTACGTGCCACAGGGTCACTAAACAACCCTCCGCAGGTTTTGAATTCAGAGTTGTCCTCCTCCTAGACCAGTTGACATCTAAGGCTGTAGAACCCAGTCTGTCCTGCTATTTACCCATAGCTGGAGAGGGAAGAAGAGGATTCACACCTGTCTCAAGGGTATTAGCACATAAGTGAATTTAATGGATTTGACTGGAATTCGAACTCAGCTCAATCCAAGCCGCTATCCATTACGCCACCATGCCTCCTATATATATATACTCTTAAAGTGTGCTATGTTTATGGGATAAAGTGCTCAATATCAGAGATAGAGTGTGTATAAATATAAAAGTGAACATTGACGTCAACACTTAGAGGTGACAGGCTGTTTCATGCTAGATGCAATCATCAGGCCACATATATATATTATTTTATGTACAGTAGTTAGTGGAATGTGGTCAACATATTCAACATAGTTGTATGAAGACGAGTTTGTGAGCCTGGCGTTTACACTGATGATTGCAAAAGTGTGAAACCCAGGGTCACAAACTCATATCCATACAACTGAATAATATATATATATATATATATATATATATATATGTGTGTGTGTGTGTGTGTGTGTGTGTGTGTGTGTGTGAAAATATATAGAAAATAGGAAGGAACTGGTTAGGTAAATAATCCAAAGTCCCTTAGTATTTTAGTTATTATTTTTAAAAAATAGTGCTCGATACAGAAGTAGAGCATAAATATAATTATTTATTTAAAAATATGATTCCAATTCGCGACATAAGAGGTCTCATGTTTCAAAACAAGAGCCGAAAACTTATTTGAATTAAATTGAGTTAAAATAAGCTCTGTTCCATCTTCAATCGAAATTTTTTTGGAATAACGTATTTCTGAAATTTATGTGTTTTAATAATTGAAATCAAAATTTCCATGGTAACAGCTAGGGCGAATTGTTTAAATTGGGTAGGCATGTGTTGGGTGTTAATAATAAGTATCAGTATAGAGTTACTTTCATAGATGTCAAGTCAGGGAAAGGTGGGGGTGTCTAAATTTGAAATAATTATATTGAAGTTTTCGGCTCTTGTTTTGAAACATGAGACCTCTTATGTGTGAATTGGAATCATATTTTTAAATAAAATATATATATATATATATATATATATATATATATATATATATATATATATATATATTTCTAAAGAAGCAATGTATTTTTTTATTTATTAATCTGACAGATTTTATCACTTAAACGTTATTTTTAATGGATACCCATATTTGAGTAGATGCTTTATTTATTTATTAAACAGTATATTTATTTCCATCTATCAGCCTGAATATTCAAGAAATCTTAATAAAAAATATATGCAGCTTCCAGCATATCTTTTTTAATTAGATTTCTCAAATATTCAGGCTAATAGACGAAAATAAATAAATATACTGTTTAATAAATAGAGTGCCTACTTAAATATGGGTACCATTAAAATTAAAAATAATGTTTTAATTAATAATACATGCATACATATATATATTCATTTATTAATCATCTTTTTGGGTTTGTGTGTGTGTGTATATATATATATATATATATATATATATAAATAACTGGCCACTTGTATTCAAGGAGACCCGTTTACTAGGGTGGCAAGCCAATCCCTATTGCAGATGCTCACTCAGGCACATTTGTGTTTGTTCAACACCCAGACAGCCAACCTGTGGTTTATACTGCAACTATGCTGATCAAACCTTAGTTAAAGTTACTGGGAGAGAGCATGTTATCTGTGATCAACAATTTGAACAAGGCCAGCATATTTATGCCCTCGGCCACGATGACTTGTGGCTTTGTGTTAGCACAGCTATCAATGCACCCCCAATTGTTCCATCTACCCAATTTCACTCACAAGGCTTGGGTTAACCCAGGGTGTAATTTTCAGGCACTTTCCAAAGGTGCCACATGCTGGGATCATCCCCCTCCAGACCGATAAGATCAGAAAACCTCCTTCTTGACAAATCAACTGTGGTGAGATTCTAACTTGGCTCTCATGGTCAGAAAGCGAACATTCTAACCACTCGGCCATGCGCCCAAAATGTGTGTGTGTGTGTATATATATATATATATATATATATATATATATATATTTTATGAATAAAAATGACAATAGGAAAACTGGTAATTGCTGATGCGTTTCGTCCAATGTGGACTTTATCAAAGCAAAATACGAAAATAAATCCACATTGGATGAAACGCGTCAGCAATTACCAGTTTTCCTATTGTCATTTTTATTCATAAATATTGTCTTCTCTACCGATTAAATCGGAGAAATTTTCATATATATATATATATATATATATATACACAGACATAGACACACACAAACACAGAGACAAACCAAAAAGTTGATTAATAAATAAAGCAGCGAAACCCTATAAAACAAGTTTAAGACCACACAAAATAATGAAACTCATATAAAAATTAAGTAAATTTATTTCTCTTAAAATTCTGCAATCTCTAATCCGATAAAACAAATTTTAGAACAGACAGAATAATGAAACTGGTTTCAAAATAAAGTAAATCTATTTCTCTTCAAAATTACCATTTTATTTATCAACATTTACACATTTTCCCAAACATTCTATCCACTTTTTTCAATCTGTCTATGAAAGTTTCTAGTTTACTTTAGATCCAATTGCAAACTTCAATTTTGGCATCAGATGAAAAATGCTGACCTTTTAATGCCTCTTTAAAATTTTGGGAACATCCACCAGCCTGATGATACCAACATGGAACTGGACAGAGGATGTATATCAACAGTTAATTTCATGCTTTTCATCCTCTTCACCATTTGTTGATTGTGAGGCAACCTCAATTGGAGCTTTTAGTATGTTTAACAGATTGGTAGATATTTTTCATTCATACCACTATTGACATAAATTTGCTTTTATATGTTCTTGAATTTTAACTGATGTACAACCATCAACAGCTAAGGTTTTTTTTTTTTACACTTACCATCATACATAATTTGGACATAGTATTCCTGACAAATAACAGCTATTACTCTATGCCATCACACATAGAAATGATACAAAGCACATTTGAACAGCTACCTTGGGTATGATGATAAACTACACCCACGTCCTGGCTAAGACGATAAAACCCCGAAACTAGGACAAAAATATTATGAAAGTCTAAGAATGTGTTTTAATACTAGAAATACTTTGTAAAAAATTATTACCAGCAATAAATTTTTGAAAAAAAAATATTACCAGCAATAAATTTTTGAAAAAAAAATATTACCTGCAATACATTTTGGAAAAAAAAATATTACCTGCAATACATTTTGGAAAAAAAAATATTACCTGCAATACATCATTGAAAGAAATATTACCAAGAATACATTTTTGAAGGAAAAAATATTACCAAAAACAGATTTTTGATAAAACAAAATATTACCTGGAAAAAAAATTGTCAGCATTAAATAACCTATTGAGGTTGATATGCCGTAAAACAAAACAAACCAAAAACAAACCAAACATTTGAACAGAACTTTATATACTACCAACTTTCAAACATTTTTCTATCTCCGCTAGTATTAATGCATGCATTACAACTTTTGTACTAGCCGATGGTCATATTACTCAATGCCATAAGAAAGTAACCTGACACTATGCATCTGTGTGTGTGTGTATGTATATTTTAAATCATTTAACTCCAAGCAAGGCAATAAAGCCACTAAGATACAAGGCGTTAATGGAAGTGAAAGAAGACTTTAGCAAGAAGAAAGGACAATAAAAGAATAGAATTCAGGAAAACAGAAGATGCTGATTGGTATTGCATATAAATTTTTGAAAATTGTAGATGGCAGGAAAGCAAAAAATTGGAAGAGAGTTCTACAAACAAGAAGTTTGATAAAAAGAAACTATTAAAATATAATGTACAGTTAGATCTAGATATTTCAACAGCAAAATGCTGAAACTTATTTGCCAAACAAGTAGTATGCTTAAAATCATGCACTAAGGAAGAAAAATCAAGAACAATTGCCATGAAGATATTTGTCGAAATAAGAGATGGAAGCCACATTACAGGAGTAGGAAAGTGACAGAGGTCAAGATGCCAGGTCATATATATGTTATTGAATAAATTACAAACTTTATGTCTGCTTATTTTCATCATGATCATTTTATATTCACAAATATTTTTCCATATATTACAACTGAATAAGGCAAGAGAATATATTCAA